AAGAAAATAGTATTGGTAATTTTGTTTTTTGTTTTTTCTTTTAATTCTCATTCTAAAATTACCTAATTATATTTTTCTTTAAAGATTTTAATAGAGTTAATAATTTTTACGACTAAACGGAATTGATACTCGAATACGTTATTCGAGTTTTAATGATGCTGTTAATGCATCAAATAATCCGAATAAATTTGTTGAACTTAATCAGGACGAAACAGAAATCGAAGAAACTCCTTAACTATATCGAACATTTTCTTTTATTGAAGACGGAGAAAATGAAACCATCCAGGACGAAGAAGGAGAATGCTCCAAATTTGTTAATAGAAATAATAATTTTGAAGTTAAAAACAGAGATAAAAAGGATATCTATAATACAGAAATGTTTGAATTTTGAAATTTGCTTTCAAGTCACGTCTGTTTTTATTTTTTTTTTATCATAAAAACTTTAAATTTTTCGTCAATTCTTATTAAATCTGATGGAGCTTTACAGAAGTCCGTAATTGTTGAATTTAATTACCCCTGTCCAATTATACCCAATTATGTTCATGAAATTTCATTCAGTTATTAAATAAAAAATAAGCCAATTTTACTTGAAATAAAGTATCACGAAATACTTCTATTAGGTCATTTTAAATTTTGTTTCTATTTGAACCTACACGTCTATCTCGAATTTTTAAAGTCTGACTTAAACTTTTTGTAAAATATAGAATTAGAACCAAATAATTATTCATTTTCTATTAAATCCTCTGGTTATCCAACGATTCTACTATTAAAGTATTCAATAAAATAACTGATCACATCACATTTTACAAGATGTGAACTATAATTTACAATTAATATAAATAAACTGTTTATTTTAAAACTATGGTTAACTACAGTTTGTAATTGTAAATTATAGTTCACATCTCTCGATTTTATGTTGTTTATCTAAGTATGTTTTTCTCAAAATTATAATTTTACTAGAAGTCTTACTCGGGTCAGAAATTATGCGAATTCGGATCAGAAATTGACCTGAGTAATAACTTGAGTCAAACAAGTCAGCCAATTAAATTGGTCACGTAATAATAGATGATTGCTAGCCAATCATGTTTGAGCACGTGATAAGTAATATTATCATTTAGTTACGTTCTGTATTAAAATTATACCAATCAATTTACACTGTATTGTGAAATAAAATGTAATTTAGCCATAATAGAGATGAGACCCGGGTAATGCCTCTAGATTGTACCGATTGGTGACTCACTTCCATATACAGTATTAGATATCATTAACCTACCTCGACAATTTTTAATTTAAAATTCACAATAAGTATCTGTGCTATTTTAGCAGCACCAAAATACAATTCAATTAATAAAGTTCTTTATTATTTATTGATTGCACGAATATGCATATTTCATTTTAATAATACAAAATAGGAGATAGTTATTCACGAAATTCAATTAAAATAATTCGTTGCCTCTGAGAGTAAATTGAAATCTTATTTTTGCAAGCAAATAAAATATAATTTTTTAAAGAATTTGATACAAGAATTAATATTTAAATACAAAATTTTCAAAATAAAAATAAAAAAAACTCTCATTAGAATATAATTTCATCATTTAAAAGCAGTAATAATAAATGCAAGACGGCCGGTTCGGCAATCCATTCTACATTTCTTGTTCAGAAAAATAAAAATACAGTATATGGTCTAGGAAAAAGACCTCATCGAAAAAGAAAAAAAAATCAAAATACATAAAAATGAGAAGTAGTAATAAATGTAAGGTGGCCAAATAAAAGATGGAGCGGCCAATATGGCAATTCATTCCACATCACGGTTTAAAAAAAATATAGAAAGAAAAATATTAATAAACAAAGGTTTAAATATAAGAATAAAGATTAAATACAAAATATTCAAAATAAAAATAAAAAAATAAAAATAAAAACTCTTATCAGAATATAATTTCATCATTTAAGAGCAGTAAAATAAATGCAAGACGGCTGGTTCAGCAATCCATCCTATATTTCTTGTTCAGAAAAATAAAAATACGGAACGGCCAATATGGCAATCCATTCCACATCACGATTTGGGAGAAAGACCTTCTTTGAAAAAGAAAAAAAAATATTAGTAACTACATATTATTTTCAAATCAATAAATCAAATTAAAGTTACTTTCTTATTACTGAAAATAGACACTGCTTTTTCTCAAAAAAAAAAAAAAAAAAAAGAACAAACATTAGTAACCATATAATACATTAATTCAAAAGAAAATCAAAATAAAGTTACTTTCCTGTTCACGCTTCACATTCGATTATTCTTTAACATCTACGTTTGATTACAATATTACATTTAGGTCAGCTTCAATACTTTCAAATTTTATTACCAAGAAAATCATCATCATAAAAATAAAATTGACTCAACAAATCCTTAATTTCTTAAACCGA